TGTAAACTAAATCCAACACCCTAGTAATGCCCCACATTCAATGAAAATGTTCACCCCATCTACCCTGTCTCCCGATTGCATGAGAGCCAACCTCCTAAATCCAATTTTATAAGTAGCCTCGCTTGGTTTTCATAAAGTACTGTTGCATCTCTGTATATTTTTAAACTGTATATTTTAAAATTTTAGTTAATCTTAAGCAGTATTATACTATATATAATTTTTAAGGGTATAACTTTTACACTTACTATGATATTTTCAAGATTCATTCATGTCAATGAGTTTCTGTATTTTATTCATTTTGACTACTATATAGCATTTTCTTATATTGACATATCAATGTCCATTCATCAACTTTTCCACTGATGGACCCATCAGTTATTTTCAGACTTTATATTTATGAAGAGTAGTGCTTTGAACATTTTGTTTATGTTAGAAAAAATTCTTGGTTATATGAATCCTGAGTCATATATAAATTTCAGATTTTGGAGATAATGCCAAACTTTTATCTGAAGTTATTACAAAATTATAGAGGCACACCATCACTAATAATTGATATTATAAGCCTTTGTAATTTTTGCCAACGGATAAATATAAATGATATGTCATGGTAGACTTGATTTGTATTTTCCTGAGACTAGTGATCTCCTAATTTTATGTATCAATTATTTCTTCATGTTTATTTTTCTATGAAGCATCTATTCAGTCATGTTGCCCATTTTCTTCCAATGGGTTATTAGGGCTTTTCTTATTAAAAACAGAAAAATTATTAAAATTCCTTATATACATGATAATCAAGGTATTTATACTTGGTAATGATTTGTCAGTTGTGATTTTTTAAAAATATATTCTACAATATGTCATTTCTCCTGTTACCTTCTTTAAGGTGTGTTTTAATAAATCAAATTTCTCAATTTTAGCATAGTCAAACTTATCAATATTTTCTTTCATGGTCAATGTTTATTACGCTTTATTTAAGATTTTTTTTGTATTTTTGTGATTCCAAAGTCTTATCAATATCTAAATATTTTTCTGCTAAAATTTTTGTGTTGTTTTTGACATTTAATTCTAAATACATCCAAACTTTGTATTAGCTTATGACATGACTTAGGCACCCACTTTAATTTTTTCTTCTTGGATTACCATTCTGAGTTCCACTTATTAAACAGCATCTCTTTTTCACATTGACCCACACTGCCTCCTCTGTCATATTCTAAATGTTTCAAACAAGTGGGTTTATGTCTGAATACTAATTCTATGCCTTTGAACAATTTGTTTCCTCTTGTGCTCCATTGTTCCAAGTCTATAAGTCCTGACTACTCTAAATTTTTAATATCTGTTATTTGTCACATCCCCACTCTGTATTTTTCTCCTTTGGAAGTGTCCTGGGTGTTCTTCAATCTTTGTCATTCTATAATAATTTTAGTATTTTCTTCTTTTACTAGTGACTTCCTACTTTTATGTGTAATTTTAATGTCAACTTTAATGTCACAGCCTTTGTGAAGTTTGTTGTTGAGAAAGGATCTTGCTATGTTGCCCAGGCTTGCCTCAAACTCTTGGGTTCCAGCAATCCTCCCACCTTAGCAGCTTCCTAAGTAACTGGGATTGCAGGCAAGCACCACATGCCTAGCTTAAGACGTTTTGTCTAGTACCCCAAATCCAGTTTCTTCTTCTTAGAGCATTCTTTTTCTTCATCATCCTAATAACCATTATGTTTTGAAATAATTACTAAATTACTTAACATAGGCCGGCAGGGTGCAGTGGCTCATATCTGTAATTCCAGCACTTTGGAATTGCTTGAGCCCAGGAATTTAAGACCAGCCTAGATAGCATAGAGAGACCTCGTCTCTACACACACAGAGACACACAAAATTAACCAGGTGTGGTGGTGCCAGTAGTCCCAGCTACCCGGGAGGCTGGGGCAGGAAGATCACTTGTGCCCAGGAGTTTGAGGCTGCAGTGAGCCATGATCATGCCACTGCACTCCAGCATGGGCAACAGAGTAAGACCTTGACTCAAAAAAAAAAAATTACTTAAACTTTTTAGTTGAATATATATTCAGTCATGAGTTGATTCAACTGGGAAATGCTCTGAGAAATGCCTCATTAGGCAATATCATCATTGTGTAAACATCATAGAGTGTACTTACATAAAACTAAATAGTATAGCCTACTACACACCTAGGTTAGATATATAGACTATTGCTTTATATCTAGTATAGCCTATGAATCATAGGTTGTAAACCTAGTGGCAATACTGTAGGTAATTGTAACACAATGATAAGTATTTGTATATCTAAACATAGAAAAGATATGATAGAAATAAAATATTATAATCTTATGGAACTACCATGATATATTCAGTCTGCTGCCAAAACATCATTATGTGGTGCATGACTATACTTGTGTATATACAGAAACATAAATATAGATATATATATACGCACACACACGTCACATATAGAAAGAAAAATGCTTACTATGTAATTGACAATAAGCATAATAACAGAAGGAAACTCAATTTCCTTATATCCCAAACAATAGGGAACTCAGTTATATTCCTAGGCCTTAGCATATAAGTAAGCACTTAATGCACAATTTATAAATGGATGAGTGAATACACGAAAATATCAAAAATTAATCATGTATGCTAATATTGGTTTCATAGAAGTTGTTTAAAATTTAGAAGTATAAGGGTCTTAGAAACCACTTATTCCAAAACCTTTATTTTAATAATGGAGACACCTAGGCCCAGAAGGATCAATTTTTTAAAGTTAAAAATTTGTTTCTAGCTTATTTATAGCATAAAATTTCAATCAAGTATAGTTTGCACAACATCAACTGCTTGTAAATAAAATAAGTTAAATACATAGTAAAAATTCCTAAAGTAATATTATGAAATCAAATTAAAAATGAAATGAAATCCTTCAAGTCTATTTTCCATTTATTCAAGACAAACTTTATTAATGTATGACATTAAACGAGTATAATGGACTAAATGTTTGTATCCCCCCTAAAATTTATATATTGATATCCTATCCCTCAAGATGATGATATTAGGAGGTGGAGCCATTAGGAAGCAATTAGGTCATGAGGGGGGAGCACTCATGAATGAGATTAGTATCCTTATAAAACATGCCACAGAGAAATTCCTCAACCCTCCTGCCATGTAAGGTTAGAGAGAAAACAGCTGTTTATGAGGAACAGGTTCTCATCACACACTGCATTTGTCAGAACTTGATCTTGGACTTCCCAACCCCCAAAACTGTGAGAAATAAATTTATATTGTTCATAAATGACACAGACTATGATATTTTTATAGCAGCCTAAATGAACTAAGATAACAATTCTTAAAAATAAAGAGAGCACAGTTTAATCTTACAATTTAAATACAAGAAAAAGTTATTATTTTTGCCTTGCATCATTAAATTTCACATTTTGAGATTTAAGATCAAGTACTAAAGACTTAAATCAGCAAAACTGTACTACTGTACTTTTTTTGGTACTTGCAGAAAAGGTAGTCATATTTTACTGAATCAGGTCATAAAATTTTTTGTCACCAATCTAGTTTTTGTTCAACAAATGACAAAGTGATCATTCCAAACTGATGTGATCCATCAAAACACATTTCTACTTTCACCCAAGCAGCACTCAACTGATTCTAACAAAGAAGCAGAAAAGGCTGATTTATTCTGAGATTTTAACTAAAGATCAGCAAAGCAATTCTCATGTTCACTTGTCAAAACCGATGGACTCATAATATTCTCCTATCTAGATAATTGAATAAAGGCATGTAAAAGGCATATGAACTACCCAAGTAGGTCTAGACTCAATCACTTCCAAAGTATTTCTCTAAATTATTTTTATTAGTAAAAAACTCCAATGAGATTTAGACCCATTTTTCAGAGGAAAAAAAATTCAGAATTTCTCCAATTAAATAAGAGTATTTTTGTAATCTAAAGAAAATTCAACATGTCTAAAATACTGTTTGAATAAAAATTTATTTTGGGAAATGCTCTTTTGTGTTTCCCTAAACTTTCACACAGTCACATAGTATCAATTACATTCTGTTTATTTGTGACAATGAGGATATTTTAATGAGTAAATACCTCAAAAACATCTGTAACATTATAAGAAAATATATTCATTCATTAGATAAATGCAATTCACAACTTGATAATTTACATTCACTTTTCCAAAAGGTACAAACATTTCAACTGGGACTCAATTAATGTTATTTTTGTCATATTTCTGCAGAAACCTTTTGCTAAACAGGCAATGCATGCTAGTTCAATGAGAATAAAACTACTTTTTTTAGCATTCTCATGTACTTTAGAAGCACTCATTTACTAGGAATATTTTAGAAATATTTTTATAGATCTTGACGTCAACAAAAAGGGAAGCATAGAGAAAATTGTAAACTGGTACCTCAAGAAAAAAATACTAAGTTGAAGTGACATTATAATATACTTGAAATTATTTTTTGCACTTAGCATACAGCTAACAATCTGGTGGCCAACAGATTGAATTTGTTTTTAAAAAACATTTTAAACTGTTTTGGAAGCCTGTAGGGGTGTCATGAACAGGTCCAGTTTGCTACAACACACACCTGTCACACTTTAGTAGTTTTTCTTGTTTATTTTATGTGCTTAGTCTTTGAAGGGTTTTGGCTCCTAGGAACCTAGGTTTAAAATTTTTCTGTCTGCATGTTCACTAATTGTTCTTTTCATACAGTCACAGAACACTGGGATTTATTAGAATTGAAAGATATCTTAGAGGTTAGCAATCTCTCTACATTTCTTCAAACAAGGAACCTAAGAACAGGAAAAATAAGGTAATTTCTTCATGGTACATTAATAGTTCCTTCAAGATGCTCTTCATACTCAATAAGGCAAAACCATTCTTAACTTAAAGTTTCATATTTTATCAAAGAGTCCTCACTCTTCATCTCAATAAAATAAAAAAATAAAAAAACTTGCTTCATAAGCACTTACCCCTCAATGCAGGCAACAGGGATCTCTCCTTCTTGTCATCACATTTGTTACATTCACTGAAGTACAGGAGTAAGAAGACATCAACAAGAACCCACATCAGTGAAGTGGCTAGAACCACTTTGCAGTAAACAAATCTCCTCATGTCTTTCCTGGATTTCTAGTTAACACACAGATAGAAGACAAACGCTACTGTGATAAATCCAAGCCACAGAGGTGAACTCCAGGATAAACGCAGGATGCATTCCACTGTATTAAAAAAGAAGAAAGAAATTTTTTATTATACAGATTTTTTTGCATACAGAACATATAATATAAAATATATGACGTATTTAATATTCCCAAATATATCAGAATTCAGCATTCAAATTAAAAATTAAAAGCTGTAATAAATAACATTTGGCTAAAAATCTAACACCTAATGACAGATCTGCCACTACTCTGCTGGGTCCTTGACATCACTTTGATTTCTTCCAGTTGTATTGTAATCATCTTGAAGTCCTACCTACCTTTATATTCTTAATAGCAACAGGTTGTCAAATAGTGCAGTTCTGAATTTACCCTTATTCAGTACTTCGTTTAGGCCAATGATACTGAAATTGAAATCATTCAGTGATATAATATATTAGAGTCACTAAGATTTGGCCTTTCCAGACAAATAGGTCTAGGTCTATTTTTTCCTAGCTATGGGAGACTTTCTAAGCCTCGGTTTTCTCATCGGTAAAATGAGGTTAACAATGCCAAACATATGATTTGCTATGGGGATTAAGATGATTATGCTTATAAACCATCTTGCAGAACAGATAGCAATCAATACTAAGATATAAAAGAAAAGAAAAACAGTTCTCAGATTCTCAAATAGGCCAAATACAAGAAATGAATTAACAGTTTTTAGCCTCGAAACTCCCATCTGGTCTGCATAAAAAAGTATTCACAATAGATGTATATTTTAGATCGGATATCAAGCATCCAAACAATTTATCAGAGGAGAAATAACACCTTTAAAAAATATAAAGTAACTTAAAATTAACAGAGCAAGAATTCTAAAGGGCATAACAAAGATATGTGCACACTTAATAAGAGATACTCAGATAAAGTGTAGAATTAAAATCATACACATTGTTTTATTTACACTACATTGAGCAATAACTACCTAGTTAACTACTCTCTACATATAGTAAATAAATCGACCAAAAATTATATCATTTCCTGTGTTTAGAATAAACTAACTGAAGTATAAATTTAATAATATGAATAAGTGAGAGTTTTGATAGATATATTAAGGGTGAATAGTATTAAGTTCAAAGATACTTGAAATATTTTATAAACATTTGCCTCAAAATAAAAATTATTAAAGTACATTTCACTGAAGCAGAAGTTATTTAAATTAATGGCGTGGACAGCATCATAAAGCAACAGAAATGTTGTTGTCTGTTACAACCAACCCAAACTAGTAACATATTCAAAATTCACACAAAGTGACAGTCTATCTTCAATAACTACATAAAATTTATACTTATTCAGAATATATATATATATATATATTACAAATGGGGAATTATATCATGTACAAATCCAAAGAAAACATGCCATTTGAAGTTTACTTGTTTTTCTTGAAAAAAAAAAGGCAGCATGCTAATTATCTAGTTGGTTTTATTTCCACTTTTCTGAAAAAATTATCGCTAAATATTGAAAGTCAGTATCTAAACCTGATAAAAGGGGAATGTTTCTCCCATACGTATTTCCTGTTATCGTGTGCATGCTTTTCTAAATTTGAACTATGAGACATTTTAAGCTATCAAATTTCCTCTTTCTTCTGCCCTAAGATAGAGTTGTTTCCTTCAGTTTATTGTAGGAAAAAAATCCCACGGAAAAGTACATATAACTCTGATGATGACTGAATGGCCACCCTCAGGTTTAGAAGAAATAGCTTAATTTAAACTTTAGTCATAATAAAAATTCAGAATTACATCAGATTGCCACTTCAAGCATTACTTACATTATTCTAATTTCATAGCCTGGTAACTTTATATATCAAGACGTTAGCACTGAGAGAAATCTAATTTTACCATTTCATGTGAAAAACTAAGTTGCTGTTTAAGGTTTTTGTCTAGTTATGAAACACTCTTTCCTTATATATTTTGTTTTTAATTCTATTTATTTAAAGGCTAAGCTTTATCATTCACAAAGATCTTATCCCCCAGCACTTGTAAAATAATAAACTCATATATATTGTGTTCCAATCTTCCTCCTCTTAAGAAAACAAAACTGATTGAGCAGAAAGATGGTAGAGTATACACAGTACACTGTCCAATGTAAGCACAGTTGGTGGCCCAGGTTTATTTAAAAGAGCTAGAATCTGTAACATGTTTCTGTTCCAATAATCTCTTATTTATTTGCAAATATTGTCCTGTTTCTCAGTCAGAAAATCCAGCTTCTTCAACATTTCTGGAGTGCCAAGCCAATGTGGAGCATGACCAACTTGCATAAACTGTAAGCTTTTCTATCTGATACTATGATCCTTTTTTCTAATAGTTTCTAAAATATTTTGAGCACAGAGATTTTTATCTTAAAATATTTTTCTAGACAGGAAAACTTCAGAAAGCGATCAAGTACCATCTTGCTACTCAGATTGCCCTTCCCTTTTCTTCTTGCCCACTACATAATGGTGTCAGTCAGATATTCTATATTATAGAAATTTAACTTGAAAATCTGTACATAGTTCTTTTCTTTATTTAAAATAGATTTCTTCTATAAGAAATAAAATCTGGATAAAGTTTAGGGTTTTAGTAACTATGATGCTAAAATAAGAAGAAAAAGTATTTGTCTTGGTTTTGGTTTTTTTGTTTGTTTGTTTGTTTTTCATTAAGAGGTTATTACTAGCACCAGGTATCTAGTTTAGATGCTATTAGATACATTTTTAAAAATCTGGAGTCATACTTTTTGTAGAAAGTTGCATAATGGGTGCAAATGTATTCAATCTATTTTATGAGGTTATACTTGAAGGTGCCAAAGGATCCCGGAAGCTAGTATAAGGCTGCTGGTAGTGATTCAGAAGTTTCAGGCATCTAGCACACTTTAAATAGTCAAGCAGGAGCTTCTGTGAGCTAATGACAGGACAATTTTGCAGAGTTTGGTTTATGGACTGATAAATATACTGAGTAAGCACTGAAAAAAGTACCCTAAATTAGCTCCAGATGTATTGATTGATAGGAAGACTAATCATCTTTGCATGAATATAGATCAAAAATTAAGGCAGACCTAGAGAAGACACTCACGGCCCAAACCAAAGGGTCTCCAATAATAACCACATCACTGAAAGATACACTAAGAGATAAAGAAACCAAAAAAGACAATGTTAAATAAATGGCTTTTGCTGAAAAATGGTAGAATACAGCGGAAGCAAAACAAAAAATATAACTTCATTTGCATATAAACTAAGGAAAAGTCAAATATGCAGAACATAAAATTTGACTGTTAGGAGGCAACCTAGGTTAGAATGCAAAAGCAAATATTTCACGAGTTACATTATCTTGGTTCCATGTGACTTTATTCAACTTACTTAAATGTATAATTGGCTAATGCCTTGGTTTTCCTGTCCACAAAATATGAGTAGTGGTAGCCACCTCATAAGCCTAGAATGAATATGAATGAATGAATACATATGTCCTCTTATAACAGTCCCTGGCACAAAGGAAGGACTCAATATACATTAGTTATTATTAGCAGTAGTATCAGTAATATTGTTATCATCAGAAATAGCACCAAAGAATAAGAAAAAAGAATAAGGATTCTTCTCACCCATCTTTCCAGAACTATTGAGTGTTCAGGGGCTGCAGAGAAAGTGTATCACAAATCAGAAATATTTGACAGATGCAGTTTCTGATGTGGTATGTTATATAGAATTTTACAATAGTCAAAACTCACTGAACTGTGCACTTAAGATCGGTGGGTTTCACTCTTTGTAAATTATACCTCTGATTTTAAGGTAAAATAAGATTAAATGGCTGTGTAGGTATCATATGCTTCCCTGATATCATCAACTTTTGATTAAAGAAATTAGTCACAACTGCATCAGATAAGAGAGCTTCCACTTAATATTTTTCTGAGCTCATCTCCTGAGTCTCCTAGCTGTTCTTTAAATATGCCAATTACTGGCTTGCCTCAGGGCATATGCACTTGCTGTTTTCTCTGCCCACCCATAAGTTCATGGCTCCCTGCTCTTATTTCCTTCACATCTGCCTTCTTTTCTGACCAAATGTCACATCACAGAGAGCTTTCCTATCAACCTATATAAAACAGCAGACACACCTTAGTCACTATCTTCTCACCCCACTGTAATCTCCTTCTTAACACTTATAACTCCAAACATATCCAAAAATTAATTATTTTGCTTATCATTTTAACTCCTTTCTTAAACCGTAAGTTATATGAGGACAGGATTTCACATCCCTTACATATGCCCTCTCTCATTCCAACATATTTAAATTTTAAAACTCCAACATTGGTTGTTATGACCAAATTCCCCTTGCCCTTCCCCAGCCAAAAAATCATATATCCCTTCCTAACCCTTAGTATCTTAGAATAAAACTATATTTGGAAACAGAGTCTTTAAAAAGGTAATTAGATAAAATGATGTCACTTGGATGGACCCTAAGCCAATATGACTGTTGTCCTTATAAGAGGAGGAGATTGGGACACAGACGCACACACATAGGAAAGGCCATGTGAAGACAGAGAGAGAAGACAGTCACCTGCCAGCCACGAAGAGAAGTCTCAGAATAAAAACATTGCTGACACCTTGATTTTGGACTCCTAACCTCCAGAACTATGATAAAATAAATTTCTGTTGTTTAAGACACAGTCTGTGGTACTTTGTTATGGCAGCCTCAGCAAATTAATACATGACTTAAATCCACTTTCCCATACTAAACTCCTAAATTTTGCCACTTGTTCTCATTTTAAATATTACAGCCCACACCATGGTAGATCTTCAGTGTGATCCTGCAACAATCCCTAGTCAAATCAATCACCATCCCTCAGATAACTATTTTACACCAAGTTTGCCTTCCTCATACTGCCATCTCTAAATTTTTTTACTCATAGCCTAACACTATGCTTCAACATTTAGCAGAGAAGATACAAATAATAAGGAAAGAATTTTGTGTACTGCCACATTGAATGCATCAACTTGCTTGTTTCTATTACCACACATCTAAATCTGCAAGTCCAACTGTTACTATACATGA